GCCTTGGCCTTGTAACGTGTGGCCTTGGTCTTGGCCTTGTAACGTGTGGCCTTGGTCTTGGCCTTGTAACGTGTGGCCTTGGCCTTGCTACTTTTGGTCTTGTTAACAACTCTGATTGAGTGTAAAAATTTAAAAAAATATATAAATAGTGTAGCCCTCATTGTGAAAAGAATTTGAAAGAAACATCAATATAATATAAAAGAAATAAAATTTTATTGGAGTCACAGTTTTGACATATTCAATATTACTTTATTCTTAACTCTAATAGTTTCTATTTTAATACTAGTGTCAAACAAGGATGTGTTACAAAAAATTACGGTAATTGGAACCTGAAAACAAAAAGACCCTCCCCCGCACCCATTGACAGGGGGAACAGTATTTTAAACATATGTTTTTTGAAAATTTAAAGTAAGATTTTAGAATTCAAGTTTCATTAAAAATCAGAAATAACGACCATTCAGAAATAACGACCGCGTAAAGTTTACATTCCTTTCATTTTAAAAATATGAAAGAAATCTCAATGAAATATCATCGACATGGTTATGTAGTAAAAACACTTATCTAATTTTTTCTTCCACAGGCTGTTTCTTCTTAATTCTTATTATTTTTTTAACTGTTTATTTCGCCTTTTACTATATAAATACAATTTTCATATTAATACATATACAATATAAGAAGATGACATAATGTCTTATCACCAAGCAGGGCCGTCCCGAGAGGGGGGCGTAGGGGTTATCTAGCCTCCTTAAGAATTTTATTAGTCGGCAAACTGAACACTAGAGTCGGAAAAATTGGATTTATAGTTGGCAGTTGGCAAATGTCGGAAAACGAGGACATTTTTTTTTTATTAGGTAAGTTAGTGGGCAAAACATTTTTTTTTGACTTTTGTCGGCAAAAAACAGACACGGCACCCGCCCCCCGCCCCGCCATTAAAATCTCTTCGGGACGGCTCTGTTACCAAACACCATTTTTATAAAATCGTAATTTACAAATACTTTTTTTATAAAGACGTAAATTTATAAACTAGAAATATATATATAGTATAGTTTTGTATAAGTTTTATTACTTAGTAAAGCAAATAGTAATTGCTAAGCTGCTTACATTTTCTTCAGTAGCAAAAACAAATAAATATTACACACATACACACACATTCTGAGCAGGGTTGGATTAAGAGCCAAGTGGGCCTGAGGCTACAGATTTGGAGTGGTTATACGGCCTATTGTTTAAAAAGTTACAAAAAGCGACAAAAAGGGTAGGTAATGTTTTTTTTTATAACTATTATAATTTAATGCAGTTAACATCGTTTTCAAAATATTTACTGTATAGAGTAGTTTTTAATGTAATAAAAATTGTAAAAAAATTTATACAATATATACTCATATTTGATTTATTGTCATAGGATTATCCTTTACAGTTTTTAATGTTTATGTCATTCTTATCTAAAAATGCAAGTAGTATTTTTGCCAAGCTCTCATCAGTATGCTCATATATTGGAATAAATTTTATAAAACGTTTAACTGGTCCGCTTGCTATTACATATCGAATTATCAATGTTAATTGGTCTGAATTGTGTTGATAACTAGCAACTGCATTGAAACCGAAATAATCGCGCAAAACATCAGCAACTTTCCAAATTCCTAGATCATCAGGAAACTTTGTATATATATCTGCAAGTTTATTACATTGCATTTCCACTTTAATCTAATGCTAGACCTGCTACTAGAACTGGTTTTTCTTGAAGTTCTTGTTCATAATTTATATTTGTTGTTGAGTTATCTAATATCCATGTTAATTATAGTTAGTTAGTTTATTTTGTCGTTTTACACATTTTACAATGTTATCTTTAAATTCGAATAAATATATATATAATTACAAGCTGACAGGGGCAAGTAGAAGACATAAAGTCTTATCATCAAGCCCTTTTGTGAAATAGAGAAATATAAAATTTCTAAAATTCCAATAATATAAAAAAGAGTTAAATTAAAAATTTTGAAAAAATAAACAAACATTCAAACAAAATTAAAATAAAAATAAAAAAATTTAAAGAGTTTGAAATAAAGTAAAAAGATTGAAAAAAATTAAAAAGTTTAAAATAAATTAAAAATTAAAAAAAGTAAAAATTAGAAAGAAAAAAAAATAATAATAATAATAATAATAAAATCTCGAAATAAAAAAATAAAAATGTATACAATGCGTAAATTAAAAAGTTTGAATTTTTTTTTACAAATCAGTACATATACGTATACATATTCAATACAAAGCGAAGTATATATTCAAAAATATTTATATATTAAAAAGATTCCAAACGTTATGTAGATTTAAATTCATTTGTTAGTATTTATTAAAAAAAGTTAAAAAAAAAAACAGTCAAAGAGAAAATCAAACAAGAAAGATATATATGTATATATATATATAAAAAAAAAAAAAAAAAAAAAAAAAAAAAAGCTTTTTATCAAATTTATCAAAAAAATATTATTTTTAAAAAAATGAAAGAATGTATGTAATGTTTGAGTTTAGTAAGTGTTTTTTTATAGTTCTTTTGAATATATCAATAGATTTTATTTTTTTCATATTTTCGTCAAGAACTGACTTCCACAAGCGTGGCCCCCGACATGTAATTGAGAAGTCAGATTTTTTGAGTGATGTTGGTGGGATGTAGTAATTATTTATTGAGTGTCTTGTTTCATATTTATGGTTAATTAGAGAGAAACCTTTATAAAAATATTTTGGAATTAGTTCATTTTGAAGTTTAAACATAAATAACAAGTTATGGTATATATTTAGTTCGTATACGTTTAGCGCATTAATTTCCTTGAGTAACGGCTTGGCACTTTCGTACCTATCTGCGCCCAAAACTAATCGACTTGCTTGCTTTTGTTTAGTATAAATATTTTTTAGGAAAGATGAATGATTGTTTGCCCAGGCAATATTACAATAGTTAATATGACTATGTATAAATGAAAAGTATAAGTTTTTTAAACATATTTTATTCAAAAGATGTTTTGTCCTGTACATAATCCCCACAGTCTTTGAAACTTTGTTCTCGACTAACTTTATTTGGCTTTTCCAATTTAAATGTTCATCGAAATTTATTCCTAGTATTTTCATTGAAAAAACTCTTTTTATTTTAATATTGTTAATTGTTAGTTCTGGAAGTTTAAGTGGAAGGTTCTCGGATTGAGATGGTTTAGCAAACAAAATATATTTAGTTTTTTCAATATTTAATGATAGTTTATTTGCTATAAACCACTCATTAAGATATATTAGTTCAGCGTTTACATAATAAAAAATATTTTTTAAATTTGAGTCAGAAAAGAAAACATTAGTGTCATCAGCAAAAATAGTATAATTAAGTATTTTTGAAGACAAAAAAATATCATTGATATAAACTAAAAACAATAAAGGTCCAAGTATTGATCCTTGTGGAACTCCGCAACTTATTGATTCAAATGGGGAGCATGTTAGATCATATGGTACACCTTGTTTACGGTTTTCTAAATAACATTGAAGCCACTTTAAATTAGAGTGAACTACTCCGTAACTACGTAGTTTGTAGATAAGAATCTTGTGGTTTACAGTATCAAATGCCTTTGATAGATCTAGAAAAATTCCAAGTGTGTAACAATTGTTTTCAAAACCTTGTAAAATTTGGTTCGCAAGATCAATTACGGCATGTTCCGTAGAATGGTTTTTTCGAAAACCAAACTGTTTATGATAAAGAATATTATTTTTTTCAAGATAATTGTACAGCCTGTTGAACATAATACGCTCTAATATTTTGGAAAAACAGGAAAGTATGGAAATCGGTCTATAGTTAGATATTATTGAGTCGTCGCCGCTTTTGTATATTGGAATTATTTTTGCTAATTTAAGTTGGTCGGGAAAAATGCCGTTTTTTAGGGATAGATTAAAAATTATGAAATCCCCATACCATTAACTTAGTCATGATCATAAGTTTGACAAGTTTCAGTTGTAATTGTGTTACTTGTGCTAAGTTCAATATTCGAATCAGGCTTGGTAATGTTGTGGAGTTGATAGAGTTCAGTAATCTTCTTAATTACTGCCAAAACTTTTTTGTTACTTTTTCTCTCTTAAATTTTGTTTTCCCCAATTCGCTTTTATATTTTTTTCATGATTATTAATTTTATTTGAAAGAAAGGAAAATATTATGTAAGTAATAGAACGAACAAACAGTCTGAACAAATTTTTTTTTTTATTGAATCGGACGTAAACAAAATGAAAACGAGAAAAAGACAAATTGTGCAACGAGGTAAAATATATCGTTGCAGTGTCTTGGTTTCTGAAAGTTAAACATCCGATAGATAAACATTTACAGTGTCTAGATGATTCAAAGTTAATCATTTAGAATGTGAGGCCGCAAGTTTAAATACCTTATTGTTAATAATTTGGTGTTTTTGCTTTTTTGATGTTTTTCAATATAGGCTTTTTTATTTGTTGATTCTTTTTTTAGGAGTGAAATTATACAGGGTCAACAAAATGTGTTTTGAAGTGGGGGGGGGGGAGCACAATCGTCAATTCTTAAAAAAAGTTGTCTATATCTAGAATTTTAAAAAAAAAAAAAAGTCCTTTAGAAAAAAAGTGGGGGGCACGTACCCTAGCTCGCTTCCCCCCCCCCCCCCGGTATCGTCGACCCTGCTATATATTATAAGTTTTTCTCTTTTTTTTAGTGGGCCTATTTTATGTCCCTGTAAACATTGGACGTCTGCTAGACGTCCTAGGACGTGCAAAACTGGTCCAATCGTTCGTGGCGTGCTTAGACGTCCGAGGACGTCCAACTTAGTCTAAATCGTCGCATTCTCGTAATTAGACATCCGTGGACGTCCAAAGACGTCCGCATTTGATTTTAATGCGTATGCGCTTACCGAAGCTATTTTATCGACGTGCTTAGCTATACTTTCCACTCGTGTTATCTGTTTGATTTAAATTTAAATTATTTTAAATTATTCGGAATGGAATCAAAAAGTTATGAAAAAAGAATTAAAAAAAACCCTAAAAAAAGATCCCACAGGTCGTTTAACACCTATTTATAAGGTTCAAAGCTTGCTAGATTTATTAATATAGGCTATATTAATAAATCTAGCAAGCTTTGAACTATTAAGGAAAACTTAAGATTTATAATCTGGCTATATTATAGCCAGATTATAAACCTTAATTTTTCGTACTATGAGAAATAAGATCATTATCATAGTATGTATTTATAAATAAAGGTTTATAAAGCTATGAGTCTTAGCTTTAAGTCAAAAGCTAGGAATATGTTTTAAATGGTTTTATAATATTTCACTTAGAATAATAGTAAAATATATAAGTAATATAATGATTGATAATAATATCTTAGAATTGTGTTGCTTAAGAAAGATTCTGGACAATGCCTTTTTCCCTTGTTAAAACAATAACTATATTTACTTTTAAGCGATCTCTTTTATACCTGCTATTTTAGAATTTATATACAATTTTTATTTTCCTTTCTAGTTATTTCTCTATGTCATAACGAAATAACTAAAGAAAAAACTAAAAAATGATGCGTAATGACAGTAGACCTTTACGCATTATCAGTTTGTAATTGTTAGTAAATATCTCTCACTTTTATATATATATATATATATATATATATATATATATATATATATATATATATATATATATATATATATATATATATATATATATATATATATATATATATATGCAGTTATTAAAGTGTCTAAAATATTGATTGGTTGACATAAACATAGACTATGTTATATTTCCTTGCATTTATTTTTATATCTTTATTGTTTAACTGCTTTAAAAATTATCAAGAGTCTTTATTTAGATTAAAATTGTTAGACCTTCAAAATAGGGTATACTCAACGTTCCTTCAAATAGTTATTATTTTGTTTTAGCGAGCGAGCTACTTATTGGCGAAACATCAGAAAACATGTTAGCAATCTCACAATCTGTTGATGAAAATGAGTGGGTTGAGGAGCACTTAAGTGATACAAACAAAGAGTTAGACATGCTCTTGCTAACAATGATGAACGATGATGCTCTTGCTAACAATGATGAACGATGATGCGAGTGAACTACTTCACGGCTTTGATACTTTAATTTAGCGAGTGAACTACTTATTGGCAAAACATCAGAAAACATGTTTTTGCAATCTCACAATTTGTTGATGAAGATGAGTGGGTTGAGGAGCACTTAAGTGATACAAACAAAGAGTTAAATGAAAATTATTCTTTAAAAAATTCACAGTTATTTCCTGAGCAGTTATTTCCTGAAAGTGAATCTAGTCATGAATTGTTTTCAGAAAATAATTCTGCTGAGTTTCATGATAACAATTGCTTGTCTGAGACAATTGATTTTCCTTTAAGTAATGATACTACTGATTATGATACTTCTATTGAATGCCAGTTCTCTTCTTTTACTGATGCCAGTTATGACCATTTATTGTCTGAACACATTCGTATTTGGGCTCTGCAACACCAATGCACACAAGCTTGTGTCAATGATTTGTTAAACATTTTAAGATCTCATGGTCATCAACTACCAAAAGATTCACGAACCATCTTGGGCACATTAGATAAAGTTCAAACCATTGAATTAAATGCTGGAGAATATTACTACCTCGGTATAAGAAAAGGTCTTGAAGATATATTAAAGAATAATATTTATGCTGATAAAGAAATTAAACTTCTGTTTAATGTAGATGGTCTTCCAATTTTAAAGTCATCTGGATACCAGTTATGATTAATAACATCCCAATTTTTTAACTTCAATCCGTTTACAATTGCGTTGTATGGTGGGTATGATAAGCCAACGGCGATTTATTTTCTGCATGATTTTTCAAAAGAATTTCAGGAATTTCATAATAAAACTGTTAGTTTATGTGGAAAGTTTTATATTGTTTCAATATTTGCAATTCCATGTGACTCACCGGCTCGAAGTCTTTTAAAGGGAACTGTGCAACACAGTGGTTACAATGCTTGAGAGCATTGTGATGGTTATGGGGTCCCAGTTCAGGGTCGGATAGTATATGATACAACAAATCCTAATTTAATTTCATGACAAACTAATAATGGGCTACGGACTGGTCAATATTCTGAAAGAAATAATGATAACAGGTGTCATCATCACAATATAACGCCCTTGTATGAAATACATAGTTTAGATCTTGTTAGATAATTTCCATTCGATTATATGCATCTGATTTGTTTAGGTGTAATGTGTCGTATTTTATATTATTTCAAAGGCTCATATCCATGTATATATTCAGGAAGATTATCTGCTGCAAACTTAATAAAAATTTCTAATTGTCTAAGTCAAATTAAAGGAAAGCTACCTTCAGAGTTTGTAAGACAGCCTCGTGAATTAACTGAGGTTAATTGTTGGAAGGCAACTGAACTTAGGACATTTCTTTTATATACTGGTATTGTTCATTAAGAATGTTTTAAATCCTAAAACATACAAGCATTTCTTAAGTTTAGTGCTTGCCATTCGTATGCTATGCGAAGAGAATATAAATTTGAGGCAGACTTATTTATATTCAGCACATGAATTAACTAACTATTTTGTAACCAATGCCCATGAACATTATGGTAATACCTTTACCGTTTGCTGTATTCATAATCTGAAACATCTTCCTAATGATGTTGAATATTTTCAATTGCCTCTTGATGCTTATTCTTGTTTTCGATTTGAAAATTATTTGCAAACTATATAGCGTCTAGTGCGTGGTAAAAGAAATCCATTAAAAGAAATTATAAAAAGACTTGATGAGTTGAAGGGAACATTACAAGAAAATTCTACTCATATAACAAAACTTGATTGTGCTAAAAATTCTTGGTTTCTTAGCAAAAATTATATCTACTTTATAAAAGAAATTTTACCAAATGGTAGATTGGTTTACAATGCCTTTAAAAAGGCTGAGCTAGATAATTTTTTCATAGATCTTATTGATTCTAATAAACTAAACATATTCTTCATAAAAAAAGATAAACATCCTTTAGAGAAGGTAGATGATGTAGACATTGTATTAAGAAAATGTGTTTGTTTGATGCATGAAGATGATCGAGTTGTTATCCCTTTATTAAATAGTGCAGATTTTAAATGATAATAAAATTGTTTGTTTGTGTTCAGAGCTGATTTAATATCTCAGTTCCCAAGTTATAGTTTTCGGAGCTGTTTTTCCAGCTCTAACAGTTTGTTAAATCACTAACCCCAAGTAAAAATACATAAATTTGGAGTGTGTTGCTCTTTTGACATTTCATTATTGTTCTGAGCTGCATATTTTTATAAAATTAATTGTTTAAAAATTTATTATATTGTTTTAAAATTTTGTTTTGAGCTGTGGTAGAAAACTAACATACTAATTCTATAAAAATTTTAATAAATATTTTTCTTTAGACTTTTCAGCACTGTTGTGATTATTGAAAAAAACCAACCAACCAAAACAGTAGTTCCAGCTCACTGGGTTGACTCGGGTAGTTCTGTTGTTTATTTTTCACCAAAAGGGTAAAAGGCAGTTGGTATGTATATTGCAGAATGGGCTGTACCAGAACCAGGATGGCAGGAATTTGAATTTGTTTAGTACATATTAGATTCTGGAACATTAGAAACATGTAACCAGATGTTACATTTTCAAACTGAAGATGATGCTGAAAATTTATGTAATCATTTTAACCTTTTTGTAAATGTTTTTCAGAACATATAAATGTACATTTTTTTAAGCATTAATTATTTGTTATTTAGCAATACAAAAAATTAAAATGAATAAAAGAGCTGCAAGTCCAGTGATAGATTTCGCGTCCAGTCCTAAATCGTCTTCTCAACGTTTTACACCTAGTGATATTTTGAAAATGCCTGCAACGTTTTCGAAATTAAATATTGCATCATTGTTCTAACAAGATCATTCTTGTAAAACCACAAATTTGTTTGAGAAGCCTTCAAAAGTGGGTGATGGTGGTTCCTCATTTAAAGAAATGTCAAATAAACGTAATTTAAAGATTACCAATAAGTCTTTTTATTTAGTTGTAGTACATTCTTTTTATGTTACATATTTATTGCTCGTTTTAATACCCTGTTCATTCTGACAATAAAAGACATACAATCTAAAATTGTGTACCTACTATTTTTTGTGTGCTTGTTTTATTACATTAAAAATAAAACACGTACCTTTAAAAACATATTCCATTATAACATTTATGATTTAGTATATGAGAAAAGTTAAAGATTTCAAAAATAATATGCAATAATTAAATGATTATTAGAATTTCAGTATGCAATTTTTAAAGAGTTGACAAATGAATTTACGCTGATCAAGCAAAATCAAAAAAAGATTATTGACCGCTTAGATTTATTAGAAAGCAATTTTGTTAGTGTAATGGGAGTATCAAATAACACAATTGAAGCAGATGTAATTATGAAGCCTATTGACTCGTTGGAGAAGTTTGATAAACAGGAAAATACGTTAAACTTAAGTAAAGTAGCAAGGTTGCAGAAGGTATATTTAAATTTCCTCTTAATAGATCCTTAAATTACTGTTTTTTGTTTTTAAATAATTTTTGCTAAATAGCGTTTTCTTTAGGCACCTTTGTAACTTGTGTCATAATGGATAGTTTATTCTTCTGGTTGTAATCTCAGGTTATCCTTACGTTAAGTAAGGTTATCCTGCTACTTGTGACATGTAATCAAGTGCAATTTGCTTCATGTTAACGTCAGGAAGGGCATCCGGTTAGAAAACATTGCTTCAACTCTTTTATAATGGCATTTATACGTCATTATGAAGAACTATCCAAACCACACAAGTGTGGAAAAATGAATGTAAATATTACACACACACACAAAAAAAACTCTTTGAATCGGTTGAAGATACCATGTCTATTCAATTATTATGGAGGAATAAAATACATTTAAGATAAAGAACTTTTATACAATTGTTTATATTTTACTTTTGTGTATAGATTCGTCAGATTAGAAGTGTGGGTGGACCAACTCCGCAGAGAACTATTAAGAAAGTGCTAGATTGTGTATTAGAGCGCAGCGTGCAAAATTGTTTCAGCAAAGATGGGTTAAAAGGAAAGCGGAAATTTCTAAGTGCAGCACTTTATAAATGTTTAAAGAGTAAGTTTTTGTCCCATTTCATCCTTAATTTTTAAGCATTTATTAAAAATATTCTACAAATGTTATTTATATATATTTATTTAAATATATATATATATATATATATATATATATATATATATATATATATATATATATATATATATATATATATACATATATATATATATATATGTATATATATGTGTGTGTGTGTGTGTACATATTTATGTATATATATATATATATATATATATATATATATATATATATATATATATATATATATATATATATATATATATATATATGTATATATATATATATATATATATATATATATATATATATATATATATATATATATATATATATATATATATATATATATATATATACATACATACATACATACATACATACATTATTACAAATTTGATATAATTTTTGTTTTAGCTGCACTTATATCTGACAAAGGTGGTTTTGAAGGGAGCGATATTGGAAGACTTGTTGGTGATTTGTTAAAACGGGCTGTACCAAAGTTACAAAAAGAAGAAAGTTGTCACGATTCTTCATTAAGTATTGTAACAGAAGAAACTAGAATGTTACAATACTTAATAAAGAATCATTTCTTTATTATTTATTGTAACAATACTTAAGGAATGTTACAATAAATAATAAAGAAATGAAAATGGAATCGATTTTTATTTTTTTGGCTAAATGTTTCCGTTTCTTTAAACCTCTCCCTAACTCCTTATTTTTTCCAAAAATACTTGATTTGTAACCCGTTACTTAGTAACGGGTTATAAATAGTTAAACAGGTTACAAATAGTTACTTACTATAGTAAGGGGTTAATATACTATGTATAAACTCAGTTTAAAATTACTATAAATAAATTATAGTAATTTTTAACTCAAAACAATACTGAAATGTCAAAATAGTATCTTTATTCATAGCAAGTTTATTGAATTTTTGGTTGTTTAAATATTTATTATTTAATTATAAATTGTGTTTTGTAATCATTGACTTAAGAATTCGATGTTTGTATATATATATCTACTGCTTTTGTATGCAGCTATTGTTATTAAACACAACAATATAAATTATATTGTTTGTTATGTATAACATAACATATATATTATATATTATATACATATTATAATACATCTAAAAAAATCAACTAACAAAAAAAAAAATAGTACCATTTTGTTGGGTCAACCCAGTTGGTCAAACAGTTGTGTTTCATATTTCCCCTAAAATGGTGTAAGATATGTGTGTATATTTTAGTATGAGTTGTTATAAGACAATGATTGGAAAAAATTGACTTTGTTGAATGTGCTGGATTCTGACACATTAGAAACTTGTAACTAGATGCTTCATTTTTTAACAAGATGAAGATTTGTAATATAATTATGTCAAATTTTTTGTAAATGTTTTCCAGATTATATTAATGTACATTCTCTGTAACATAATAATTTTGTCGTTTAGAAAAAAAAATATTTAAAACAGTCAGCTAGTGGTTAGTCTAGTGGTTAATTTTAACTCCACACATTCTATGTTGTCTCAAAACTGATAAAGCAACAAGTTCTAAACTGGGTAAGAAGCCTTAAAAAGTAGGTCCTTATTTAAGAAAATGTTGAATAAACGCAAGTGCACTTTAAAGTTATCCTGCAAAAAGTATTTTTATTAGTTATTATATAATCTTTTTTTTAATTTATGGCGTAATAAATTTATTCATACTGACAATAAAAGTATTTTTTTATTTTAACTCATATGCAATGCAGTATTGGTGTAGTGGGAAGAGCGCGCGCTTTGTAAGCGAGAGGTTCGGAGTTCAACTCCTACCACGTCCCTGGAAGTACCGCGATCAACCTAGTTTCTCCGCACAGCGGCTCAAGGCTCGTGTTTCGGAGTTAAAGAGTCGAGAGAGGGTTGTACCACAAAAAAAATATGTATATATATATATATATATATATATATATATATATATATATATATATATATATATATATATATATATATATATATATATCATATCATATCATATCATATAATATTGCCGAAATTAATAGTAGTGTCCCTTGGAGCGTATTTGACAAGAAACCCTTGGCAGCCATTGCAACCGAGGTATTGGCAAGAAAGAGTCGCAGCACTATAAGAATACGTGAACGAATATCTAACGTACGTAAACTTGAAACTAAGTAAGGTTAAAGCAAATGTTAAAACATACTGAAACATTTATTATGTTTTACAGTTTGATTTTTACTTGAAAATTACATTGCGTCAACCTCTTCTTAATTTTGATCTAACAATTTTTTCCTCAAAAAAATTACTACATTATTATAAAATCTACACTTGATGATATGCTATTGATGATATATTTTATGGGTTTTATGTGTATTAAAACTTAAATATTTTTTTTTCATGTTTTCATGCAATTACATAAATGTTTAACATATGTTACTTTGAACACTTTTTATTTTTTTACTTTCACAATAGCATCAGTATCATCTGCAGTGCAATCAGGTAATGTGTTTTGCATATTTATGCAGTTTTATGAGTGTTATGTGTATTAAAACTTAAACATTACTTTTTTCATGTTTGTTATCAATTACATAAATGTATAACATATGTTACTTTATACACTTTTTTTTTTTTTACCTTCACAATAGCATCAATATCACCTGCAGTACCATCAGGTATTATGTTTTGCATACTTATGCAGTTTTATGAGTGTTATGTGTATTAAAACTTAAAGATTGCATATCTTATTTTGCACATCAATTTATTTATTTATTTTTTCGTCTCTACATTAACACCTCAAGCAATAATATCAGGTAATCTGTTTAGCATACTTATGCAGTTTTATGAGTGTTATGTGTAATAAAACTAAAACATTACTTTTTTCGTGTTTGTATGCAATTACATAACTGTTTAATATGTGTTTGTTTATATACTTTTTTATTTATTTCCGTAATAGCAACAGTATCAACTGCAGTACTACCAGGTAATGTGTTTTCCATACTTATGCAGTTTTTCCATACTTATGCAGTGTTATGCGTATTGAAACTTAAACATTACTTTTTTCATGTTTGTATGCAATTACATAACTGTTTAATATATGTGTTAGTTCATATTTTTTATTTATCTCTATAATAGCAACAATATCTGCAGGACCATCAGGTAATCTGTTTTGCATGCTTACGCAGTTTTATGGGTGTTATGTGTATTTGTGTAGGTATATATGAAATTTAAACATTGCGTATCCTTATTTTTACATTACTTTTTTTTGTATTTTTTTTTGTCATAACCTTTTTTTTTTTAAAGTCTAAATAGTTTTAAATAATATTTTTATTGGTTGTTTTGTGCAGTATTGTATTCAAATTTCTTTCTTTTTTTGTTTTTGATTTTTAGCATCGCATCAAGATTTCCTGCGATATCGCTCCCAGCACCCAGGTCCGATATCTCAAAGAGCTTTCTACCGGTGGTGTCAATATGGGGGAGATGATCCCTCCTTTAGATGGAGGAGACAAGCCCCATATGACACCACTGGTAGAAGGAGGGGTGCTGGGAAGCGGTTCAACTCTTTTAATTTCTACCAGTAGCTTTTTTAAGCTACTGGTAGAATTATCTTCATCTTTAATTATAAAGAAAATTGACTTTTTAAAAAAATGTTTTTTTTAATTTTGCAATTTTTTATTATTTTAAGTTTTATACTTTCACTAATTTATTTTTTAGATTTTTAATTCTGTTTTTAAATCCTAAACTTACAAAAGAACTCTTATGTTATAAAAGTTTTTAATAATTTCTATAAGTTTTTTTATTAATTTACGTTTTTACATCTTTTTATCTTCATTTTTAATTTTAATAATACTAAATTTTCTTTTGTATTAACTTTTATTTGTTAAGTGTTATACAGTTTTTGAAAGATTTGGTAAATATATTTAAAATTTTTCTTTTTCTATGATATCTAATATATGCACTATACACCTATTAATCTCTTTACATTATTCTCTTTAGATATATTATAAAATAGTATTTAAAATCAGTTGTCTATATGATGCAACATGTTTGCAATTGTTGGCATGTCATTTTTAATTTAGTATTATTAAAATTAATTTGTAACTAATTTTGCTTTTTAATATTACCATTAATATGACTTTTAAAATAATAAAATTTTTTATTTGTTTCTAAAAACACTGTTTTATTACTTACAATATAGTATGTTATTACAAGATACTTCTGGCTTTTTCTCTGTTTCAAACCAGTTTAGTTACAATTTTTGTTCACAAATTTTATTAGACGCTATACACATAGTTTCATAGGTTTAAACTGATAAATAGCACTTTATTGTTTTTGTTCATTTTAGATTAGTGTAGCAAAAAATTTATCAGATATGCGTTTATATATCTTTATTTATATTTATGTGCTTAAGTTTATATAAGTTTATATTAAGTTATTTCCATGTGAAAAGTGATGTTACTTGGCAACGTGTAGTGCAAGATTGTGATTCTTGCTAGCCAAGCGGTGTTACTAATTAGTGGTGTTACTTGGCACTTAATGCCAAGCGGTGTTACTTGGCAGCGTTTAGTGCCAAGCGGTGTTACAAGTGTTGAGCTAGGTTGTGTTGTCTAGCTTTTTTAATTATTCTGGAAACACATAATCTAAATATTTTGTGTTATGTGCAAATATGTTATGTAAAAATATTTTATGCTATGTGTATTCAGTAGCATAGGCAGGGTCTTTTGATGCTTTGTATAGCACTTTCAACCAAACTTAAGTGTATTCACGTTTATAGAATTAAAATACTTTGCAAAAAATTGATGTTGTTAAAGCTTAGGAACACCTGAAGACAAAGAACGAAAGAAAAGTTGCCTAATATCAAAATTTTAACTTTTTCTACCTATTCTATTTTCTATACTGTTTCTTCAAAATTGTTTAAAATTATTAAATTAAGTTAAAAATTTAACTATTTTAGTAAAAAAAAAATATTTTAAGTAAAGTAAATTTTCTTTTAAAAAGTAAAGTAAATTAAAAGTAAAGTAAAGTAAAGTAAAGCTTCTCAATCTCATATAACATGATGAGATTTTAATTACAAAAAAGTAAAGAAAAAGTTTACGTTTGTTAACTATAAAAAAAATTTACTCGGTGATATGCATAGTAATTAACTTTGCTTTATTTATATTACCAAAGAATTTTAGTTTTAATAAATTTATCTCTATTCTTTGGTTGGTGGGCAATAACCAAAAAAAAAATTGACTTGTTGATTTGATGACATTAAAGTATGCACTAATTCTATTCGAACAACGCATTTTATTGTTAAAAAAAAAATAATTTATTTAGTTTATTTCAGAATATTTTTAAAGATACTTTTATGATTATTCTAAAAAAAAAATTTAGTCAAGATTTTTAAAAAAATAACCAACTTAATTTGCTTAGGAGTAACGATAAATGTACCGCATTCAACCAGCTGCAGGTTTCAGGTGGTGAAGGTCTGATGAAATAAACTTATTTACATTAGAACATAATTTTAGTACGACTCATGCATATTAATATATTCTGAAAATTTCATTAAAAATACATCTTGAAATATTGTATTCTGCGTAATCGGGTATAATGAAAGTTTAGTAGTGGTAAAAAAAAGCGTTTTAAAATCATTAAATTATGTCAATCGATTTATAGCCATCAACAGAATAACCTGTTTGCTTTTTTAATCTGATGTTTTTCTGAAACTTGCAAAGACTCAATATAATGTATAACGTGTATCATTTCTCACACTCACAACATTTGTTTAAAATTCAATTGTACTTAAATTTATTTATGAAACTGAAACAAATAAAGCACTTGTAAAAAAGTATACGAGAAACTCAAACGACAAAAATAGTTATAGATAAAAAAATCTTTAAATTAGTATGATTCTTTTTAGTGTTAGCATGTTAATTTATTTTGGTAGGTAAACATGATTACAGAAATAGATATAACTACAAATGATATCCAAATTTATGCCCCCCCCCCCCATCTCTTGGTAGCAAAAACATTTGGTCAGTGAGATATAATGTCTCCATTATCAAATTTAGTTTTAGTAATCAATGTAAGCAACAAGATCAGATATAACGTTGAAGTGAATGATAGTATTACTAAAACTAATAAATTTTAATTTGTTGAGTTAAAATTTTTTTTTTAATTTTTATACTTTTATTTTTGTTTGTTGAGTTTCTAATGTTTTTTTCCAAGTGCTTTATTTGTCTTCTAGCTTAATTGTTTCTGATTGATAAATAAAAATGTTTTATAAGTAATAATTTTAAATACATTTGACAATATTTTTTATTTCTGTTTTAGAAAAGACCACAATCGATGTAATAACTTTATAATAACTTTATCTAAATTATTTAAAACAAAAATCTAAAAAAAAAACTGAGCTATTCATCTGCATTTTTCTTAAATCAATTCGTCACCAGTTAAATTTTTGAAATTAGAGATCAGATTTTATAAAGTTACCAAGGAAACAGAAACAGCAAGTCAAAAACAACTAAGAGGGAGAGGGGGAAAGGGAAGGAGTCTTAATTAGCTCAAACTGGGTGGGAAAGTTTTTCGAAAAGGTAGAGATGTGTCCCGTTTATTTTCTACATGTGTGTCCGATAGACGCTATTGTTTTATGGTGGCACTACAATATTATCATTTGTTTTTTTTTATATTAATTTTAATTTACTTAAAGACCCTTCATTTTCTGCGACAGATACTGACATTGCATTGAAAACTCAAATTAGTATGCATATAGGTTGGAAAATAGGCTATAGGCCCTTTATATTATACTTAGTATACTTGGTTGGGAAAGCCTAAAGTGTTTTCACTAGTAAAAAATGAAGTCTCCTTTAAACTATTAAGATGCAAAACATCTTCCATAAAGTTATCTTTTATTATACAAGCTTTTATATTTACAGGTTCCTAATCTCTCAGATGAATGAGAACCTTAAAAAAATAATTTTCACAATGCTAATTTTAAATTGTTGAATTAAAACTTGTACAAAAAATGTTTAGTATTAATGAAGGAAAGCAACAACAGGCTTTCCTATGTTGACAATTGGTATTGCTGCAGACGAAGTAGCTTCTTAAACATACTTTTTGAAAGAGTTTACTGTAGGTGCATCAGTTGCATCATGCGCTAATTTATTCCAACAAATTGCCGTTCTGGATAACCTTTATAAAATTATATGTTGCGTTTAATGAGAAAAGGTATAGTTGTAGAATAGAAAATTCAAAATATTGTAAATGATGAGCTTTTTTGTTTTGTAGCATGAGATCACTACAAACTCTGCGTTCTTTGAGTGTAGTTTAGCCGAGTATTTTAAGTCTTTGATTGTAATTAAAATGTTTAGTTAAAGATGTTGCGCGTTGTTAAACGTGTTTGAATAGACAAAATTCTGATTTGAGATGGGATGACCACTAAACACAAAGATGTATACAAAATCTTAGATGCAGATTAATGCACAGCAGATACAACTTTTTCCATAGTGGGAGATCTCCAACAACAAAATGATTTTTTGAGACAACCAAGAATTAGATTCCCAACTCTAGCTGATACTTCTACTTGTACTTTTACTTTGAGATTTTTGGATATTAGTAAAAGTTGCGTTCAATACATAATGGAACTAGATTGCATCCGTTACCGTCAATTTCAGCTTTGGTTTTGATAATTAATTTTTGCGACAAACAACTTGCATTACTTTGCACTTCTCAACGTTAAAATTCACAAGCCAGTTGTGTGACCAATTTACAGAATTGATGTCCGCTTGCAGTTTTTCATAATCAGAAGATTGAAATCTTTCAATCCTAGGATCTTGTCATCATCGGTGTATATACATCGTTTGATATGGTTACAAATGCAGCCTGGTAAGTTTGAAGGAGAACACAAATAGCAGTAATACAAAGACTGATCTCAGAGGGACGCTACGTGTTACTTATTTCTACTCTTTCATTTATTCTTCAATTAATATCCATTATTGTCTATTAGCTAGCCCATCATTTATTTAGTTTAATAGCTGGTCTCCAATCCACAGACATGAATCTTATGACGAAGTCGATGTGTTGAGTGATTTGGCAAATTTGGTAAAAATTATGTCAACCAGTTGTCCACGGTAAACTGCTTCTGGTAAAATGTTGTGGAATTTATTCAGGTTTATAAGGTAGTCTTTATGATCTACAAATCTTGTTGAGGCTTTGAAGTTATTAGGTTGATGCATAATTATTGCAAGTTTTTCGAAATCAGTATTTATTTATTATTTAGTATTAATATATTTTTTGTTATATATTAATATATACTATTTATTAATTAACTACTATATATGTTTATATATTTCAGCATTTATAAATATTTTTAAAGTATTTATTTATTATTCAGTTTTTCTATATAATAGTGGCGCAAAAAAAAAGTGCGATAACTATGTATTAGCCTAATATATTTTAAATAGTGTTTCACAATCCTATAATAATTGTCTACGTCATACGATATAGCTGACATTTGATTTGTGTTGAGATTTCAACGCACCTCATAGAGTTGTTAAACCTAAACTAAATCCATTCAATTTGATTCCAGTTGAATAATTATTAGCATTAGACGAAACGCATTAATTATTAGCATTAAAAGAAATGCTCAAAAAGATACGCGTATTAATAGCTCTATTAGAGATCGTCCATAAATTACGTAACGCAAAAATTCACAATAAACAAAACATAAAAGATCACAAGTTTTCCCTCGCTGAGTCTTAATTTAAATAAAAAATCAAAATAGCTAAAATCGCCGCGTAAGAGTATATCTCCTACTTCTTTTTTTTAAATTTATTTTGCGTTGCGTAATTTGTGGACGATCAAACAATACTTATAAAAAATTCTTAAATTATCAATGTTTTACGCGAACTAACGCGAACTGCTCAAGAGGAAACTGTCGTGCGTACGATAAACGGTTATAATATCTTAAAGCAAAAATACAGAAAAAAAAAAAAAAAATTCAAACGCAAATGCAAAAAAAATTTGCATTTGAATATGGGGTGAGATATCTGAATGCTGAGATTTATACTTTTTCAAACAAATTTTTGAAAAAAAAAAAAAAAAAAATAGTCCCACATTCGGTTATCCACATCCAAATGTCTCACATCTAAATTTTTTATTGATAATGATTAGCCTAAAAAAATAGCTGACAGGAATTCTGGTATTTAAAATCTAACTTTCATTATAAAAACTTATTTTGATTAAATAAATTGATAAGAGAAACTGAAATGATTTAATTAGACAATAATACAACTACAGCTAAAAGTAACACAATTGCTTTTTTAATACAGAGATAAAAACCCTGACTAGTTATTTATTCCTGTGTAACAACAGTAAATTATAACTATAAATATATTTTTTTATTAACCAAAACTGTAGCAAAATATTTTATTGCTGAGAAAAGAAGAATTAACATAACTACATAACTTAGTAGAGAAAAATAAAAAAACTTTACATGCCAAAACGAATTAATTTAAATATAAAATAGTTACAAATTTAATTAATTGCATAAACAAATCTTTTAGCTAGATGAAGTCAGGTACCCGCTAAAACATAAAAAAATAAAAATTACAGAAAACAATAAAAATCAAGAACAAAATAAAAAGTTTCATAAAAGAAAAACTTACGGTAATTTCATACGCATGAATAATCTACACATAAAAAATGGCACAACAACACACAAAAATCCAAAGAACAAAAGCAACAATCTGTTTAGCTTTGGCAAAGAAGGTCCATTGGCTTTATCTAAAATAACATATCCTAAACCTCCAGCAGTAAATAAGAAGCTAGCAGCTAAACCTTCCATAATGTATTGTCCATTTACTCTGTATGGCATAAAAGCAACCTATGAAACAATTTTATAACACTATATGCTTATATTCTCCAATATAAAATGTATCAGAATATAAGTGTACTGTTACATAAAAAAATTTTTAACTTTTTAAACTTCATTATAATTGTAATTTAAACTCAATATAGATGTATATACATTCATATACATTAGGGGTATAAATAAAAAATAGTTAAAAGATTTTTAACTTGAGCATGTTATCTAGTGATGAGCTTTTATATTGACAATTATTTTAAAGTCCGTCCATTAAAAAGACTCACGTATAAAATGAATTATAGTTCATAAGATTGCACACACAAAAAAAAGTGACGTCAGTGACATTGGGTTTGTTGAGCGTTTGTTCTACCGAGTATCAATTTTAAACCTGTATGTTAATTTATGTTAACTTATGTGGCAGTAATGACTTTAATCGTAAATGTTTTCAAAAACTGTTTTTTTTAAATATCTAATTAAATAATAATTTGTGTAAAGCATTACAAATTCAGTTAGAAAATTCTACTGCAACCAAAAAAAGAGATGCATAGAAAAAGAATGTGATTCACTTTGAGAAAAGTAAAAGATTACGTGGGAATCTCAAGAATCATTATGAAAAATATGTAAAATGCAAACAAATTGGCAAATAATAAACCAATAAAAATATGAAAGACCAAATAAAGAAAATTCTAAATGAATGTTTAGAAATTTTATTAGTTATAAAAAAAGAGAATGAACTTTCGTTGCATTCTGAAGATAAACTTTTTTATTTAAATCAATTAGAGACATCTGGTAGAGTGGTCACCTATGACAATAAAATCTGATGATCCTAAAAAATATATCTTTCAAAGAAAATTGAAATTGGAAATCTTTCATTAGACCATCAACTTCAATTCTGAATGAATAGAGAGAAACATAAAAGTAGTAAGTTACAATGCCAGTGATTATAAACCTTCAATAAATATTGAAGAGGACTGCCAAGGCTGTTAAATTAATAAGTCGAGTTGAGCTGAGTACATGAAAAGCTGCCACAGTGTGTCAACAGCGTCAGATGGATGTCGATCTTCTTGCACCAACTCAACCAGCAATCCATATGTCATTCATCAAAAAAAAAAAAAAGTTCCGAGAAAAAAGGTTGAGAATTGGTGTTTGCATTTTGATGGGAAAAGATAACTGGGGTGGAACATCAAGTAGCTGTGATGAAGAACGTTAAAGGAAAAGTTAGGCTAAAGTCATAGATGAGTATTTGACTTTATGAAAATCCCGGAAATTTTTTTTATAAAAATCCCGGAAAATTCGAAAAAATTATTTTATTAAAAAATGTTCCTATTAACTTAAGGTGGTAGGCCTATGAAAAATAGAGATTTTTGATCAAAAATTGAAAAAAAAGGAAATATATTGTATTTATGTAAAAATTTATCCTCTATCTGCTGATATATGACTTGTTTAGGTTTGATTAAATTAAAAGTGTTTTAAATAACATATTTTGTTAGCTAGTTTTTTTGTTTACCTTAGCAACGTCATAGCAACGAAAAATTAAGACCTTATTTTACCCAAATTAGATGGCCAAAATGACAAATCTTGTGAAGCTTCTTTTTCCAATATAATATAGATCTGCGGTGTTTTTAGTCATGCTTTAAAGTTTCATTTTCTTATAATAATTGCCATATTAAACTGTTTATATTAGCTGTGGTATAAAATCATTATTTATGAATTTTTCAACTCTTAATTTAAATCAATCAATTTGTACTTGTGTATAATCGTAATAAATGTCTTCTGGCAAAAGCAGCAAGCAAAATTTTTCACGAAAAAGAAAGAAGAAGCCTCCTGTAAATAAATACTCAAAAAAATGTCTTTCAAATATTTCATCAGAAAAAGTTACATCTAGCATAAGTAAAAAGAGGCTAATTATGAATCAAACTAATCTCAATACAATCAGTGAAGTAATAAAACAAGAAGATGATTACTTTTTATTCGTAAATTTCTCTGTACTCAAAAGTGTATTTCAACCTTTGTTAGTATGTCCTGAATGTGGCCATAAAAAAATAACTCTCAGTGATAACAGAAAGAAGAGAAAGGGATTTTCCCATAATTTAGAACTTTTATGTGAGTCATGCGAATGGTATAAATCTGTTTATACATCAAAAGAATGTAATACACAAAACCATGGTCAAGGTCCTAAAATCTTTGAAGCAAATGCAAGGGCAGTAATTGGTTTTCGTGAAATCGGTAAAGGTTTTACTGCAATGGAAACATTTTCTCAATGCATGAACATGTGTTCTTTATCTAAAACACCATTCTCTAACCTTAATGACAATGAAATTTATACAGCATATGAGAAAGCTGCTTTTAATAGTATGAAAAAAGCAGCTGAAGAAGCTCAAGACAAAACATTAAGTATTCCAACAAAACAAAGAGTAACAATTGATGGCTCTTGGCAAAAGCGGGGCTTTACATCACTAAATGGTGTTGTAACTGCTGTCATCAACAACAAAATTATAGATACTAAAGCTTTTTCTAAGCATTGTAAAGGTTGTTCAATGTGGAAAAAACATAGAGGATCACCAGCCTACAACAGATGGAAAGCAGATCACATATGTCACATTAACCATACAAAGTCATCTGGTGCAATGGAGGCGGCTGGCGCATTGGAAATCTTTTCTCGATCAGTTAAAAAGTACAATTTGATTTATCATGAATACCTAGGGGATGGTGATACTTCATCTTTTAAAGAAGTTAAAGAACCTAATCCATATAAAAGTTATAATATTCAACCAATAAAATTGGAGTGCATTGGGCATGTGCAGAAGCGACTTGGTACACGCTTGCGAAATATCGTACAGAAGTATAAAAGAACAGAGAAACCCCTACATGGAAAAGGAAATTTGACTAATAGTGCAATTAACTCAATGCAGAATTATTATGGTATTGCAATTAGAAACAACACTGACAACATTTATGCAATGAAAAAAGCAGTAGGAGCAGTTTTGTGGCACAGCACAAATTTCAGTGATAATAACATTCGTCATTCTATGTGTCCTAGGGATGAATATTCCTGGTGCAAGTGGCAACTAGACAAACTTAAAGGTACAAATACACACACTAACAAAATTAACTTACCTATCTTTATTCATAATATAATAAAACCTATTTTTAAAGATTTATCTGATGACGATTTGCTAAGAAAATGTTTACATGGCCAAACGCAAAATTCAAATGAAGCATTTCATTCAATTTTATGGACTCGTTGTCCTAAAAACATTTTTGTAAATAGAAGAACATTTGAACTTTGTATAAACTCTGCAATAGTTCATTATAATGATGGTGGAGATCGGGTAAAATCTGTTTTAAGTTACTTTGGATTGTTAGGATCAGTGACTATTCCAAAACTGGTTTTAAAGGACCAAAAACGAATTGTAAACAACCGTCGTAAATCAACTTCAATATGCAAAAAGCAAAGAAAAAAACTTAGATCTCTTTATAAGGGATACTTTATAAGGGATACTGAAAAAACAGATTCATATAGCTCTGGTAGCTTTTAAGAACTGTTTATAGACATAAATTTTGATTTTTAGTTTTTGATTTGATTTTTTTCATTTTGAGATTTTTAGTTTTTTTTAAAATTTCAAAACATGATATCTCCAGTTTAAATTAAGCAGTTAAGCTGAAATTTTCAGGATATGTTCTTCATACATGTAGAATTCATTTGTCATAAGATTTTTAAATTTTCTTTTTTTGGGGCGCTACAATGTGGTTTTATCTGTCAAAGTTTTTTCATAAAAATATATATTCAAGTTTAAAAGTCAATATAATCTGAACCAGGAAGGCAGATTAAAAAATCCTATGACAAATGAATTTTATACATATATAGAACTACCATACCAAATTTGGAGTTTTGATCTATTGTCACTTTTGAGAAATAGTGTTTTGAAGTTTTCGTTTTTTTTACACTTTTTAATAAATTTTTGAGGCAAGCGAGGCACTTTTTTATATATTTTTTTGATTTTATGTTTAGTCTCATAATTATTGGTAATAAATGATTAGTTTTATTGTAAATTTTATTTTGATGCTTAAAAAAAGTTTTTCATAGGCCTACCACCTTAATACAAAAACTTACGTAAACTTTTAAAACGGAATTTAGATAATTTAACTTTTTACAAAAAGGAATTTCTAATATTCGATAAAGTTAATTTGAATAATTTAAAATGCCTAAAAAAAAAAAAAAAAACTGTTACGAAAATTGATCTAGTGAAATTTTTAACTATAGAAAATATATTTGTTTAAATGCAAAAGTTTTTTTTTTTAATTTTATGTAAAAATATAGAATTCTTTTTTAAACAAACTAATAAAAAAAAACATCCGGAAATTTCTGGAAAAATAAAATGAATTTCCGGAAATCCGGGAATTCCCGGAAAAAAACTCATTTTTAACCTCGTTTGCTAGGAAATAAGAAAAATTTGTTTTGAAAAAAGTAAATTGTTTTTTTAAAACAAATTGCTTAAATGATTTTTTTTTGTTCAAATTGCTTTTTTAAAAGGTTTATAAGAATGAATAAACACGCATATAAAATGAATAAATGCGCATATAAGAACGCATATAAAAATGAATAGACGCGCATATAAGAATGAATAACCCTGTAACAGACAACATAAACTTTCATAAACTTTTAAAACGGAATTTAGAATATTTAAATTTTTACAAAAAGGAATTTCTAATATTTGAAAAAGTTAATTTGAATTTGAATTAAAAAGCAAAAGAAAAAAACGCAAAAAAGTTGTTACGAAAATTGATCTCGTAAAAATTTTAATTATAGAAAACATAATTGTTTAAATGCAAAAGTTGTTTTATTTAAAATTTTATGTAAAAATATATAATTTTTTTTTCAAATTAATAACAAAAAACATCCGGAAATTTCTGGAAAATTAAAGGAGTTTCAAGTAAATTTCCGAAATTCCGGGAATTCCTGGAAAAAACTCATCTATGATTAAACCCATAGATCATCCAGGTAATATTTTAAAAATCCGGAAAATCAGTAGGGTAAAATATCCGGAATATATTTTCCCTAATATTCCTCTTAGTTTTGATTTTAGCTGAGCTATATTTAATATTTTTTAACTTTTCTTAATTTTTGTATGAGTAATGAGTTTAATATATTCCTAAACTTGTATGTATAGAAAACATTTTTGATATCCGGAAAAACTAAAAGTTGAGAAAAATATCCGGAATTCCGGAAATATCCGGAAAAAGATAATCCCTGTAAACCAAATGTTTAACCCTGAAAATGGTAAAAAAATTTGAGAAAACCATTAAAGATCACCCAAAGACTATCAATACAATCACAATGTTTTGGTGTGATACTCCTATATATACTCGACTATAAATACGCAGAGATCCAACATTTGTGCCAAACGAGCAGTAAAAGTTTGAGAGGATTTCAAAAGTCTTTGCAAATCTGAAGAAACTTTGTATTTGAAATACTTATTAGGGATAAACTGGAATTCCAGCCAGAATTTGTGACTTTTAGATTATTCTGGTTCCAGCCGGAGATTTAATATTTTAGGCTGGAATGCTAGAATTTATTTTTTACTTTATTTATTTGTTACATTATTATATTATTATTATATATTATTATGACACAGACTGTGTAAATCAGTGGTTCCCAACCTTTTCTTACCCGTTCCCCAAATTATATATCATAAAATCTTCATGGACCCTTTGGCTTTTAATAATTATTACAAGGTAAAAATTTTAATAATCTAATTTTTATTCTTCACACAAATGTGATGTTGAAAAGGGAATAAGGGCTTTAAGTGCAATTGATGAACACAATGGATATGAATTTTTCATTTTCAACCAGAAGTTATCTAATGATGTTATTTTGAAGTGATCCTTAGCCATGATATCATCTCTTAACTCTATAAATTCTTTTTGCGCTTCCTCTTTTTCATATTTTTCACATCACAAGAAAATGGTGATATAATAATTTTACTGCTGAAAAGGTTCTCATCTAGAAAATAGTTACCCAACTCATTAATCAAATTATCGAGGTGATGAACTATTTCTATAATTTCGGGAAGCATGTTATTTCCAATTATGCTATTTAAATTTTGAAACATGATCAAATTTCCATTGTTAATTCTAGTCTTACACAGTTTGAGCTTTTCAATAAATTCCTTCAGTATTTCCGAGTGTGTAATGACATTAGCATTTTTGCCACAATATGACCCACAATGTCCACATAATAAGCCATTGTTATTTCAAAATTTTCAAATATTCTACCAATCCACTTTTCATTTTACATAAAATTTAGTTAACTTCACTTCTAAGCTTGAAAAATATTTCCAAAAAAGTTACAGCAGATAGCTATCACACAGAGGTATAAACAATAGCTTTTATATTTAACATTTAGGTCATAGCAAAGTTTTGTAAAAAAAATAAATGTCAAGAGCAGAAGATTTTATATGACCAACTTGACTAATTGATTTAATACACATTTCAAACTACCTGGTAGTGTTTGGTTGCCAAAGCCTTTCTATGAATAAAACAGTGTACACTAACTACATTTGAAGCAATCTCTTTCACTCTAGTCTGCAATCCAGACTTACAACTAATCATGGCAGAAGCTACATCATTAGTAATTCCAAACAAATATATTTATTGTAACTGTTTGTCATTGAAAATCTGTTCAAAAATTTCCATTGCATCATGTTATATCATAACATGTTGTTTCAAATGATAGAAAAGAACAAAAGTTTTCCTTTGAACTTTTTATTGCAAGTATACCACAAAATACAAATAATTGTGCCATTGAACTTACATCTGCGGACTCATCCAACTGAATAGAAAAATATAATGATTCTTTAGTTTCATGATTTTGTAGTTTTGTTGTCCGCTTAAAACGTTCACATGGTCCCCTAGGAGTCCATGGACCACTGGTGTAAATTATATCAAAAAATCATTTTTCTACAGGGCAATAAAGAACTATGGGTAAACCTAGGTAAAAAATACAAATTCTTAACAAATACAATGTAATTTTAGGTAAATCTACAGTTTAGCGCTCTAAAATAATTTTATTTTTCAATCCTCAGTCAATGTAACTGCACTTCCTTGCGGAAGCAGGCTATAAGAGAGTCAATGTAGCAACACCCCCTTGTAGCAGCAGGCTGTAAAATAATGGATGTAGCAGCACTCCTTTGTAGTAGCAGGCTACAAGATAGTCGATGTATGTACTAAAGCCAATAAATATTCTTTATGCTTATACTAAAAAATTACCACTTTGAACATGTCTCCACACGAAAACGCAACACGCAATAAATTGAAATTATTTTAGACTGCATATCTGTAGCTTTGTCTAACTTTATTTGCAGTAATCACTTATGTAAAGATTTCTGAAAGTTTAGGAGCAAAAAGAGTTGCTATCCAGTTTTGGGCAACAAACAAGCTCTTTTTTCATCAAAATTGTTTCCTGCCTCTAACAATAGTCTTATTTTTAATGTTTCTAAACTTTTAAATAGTTAAAAAGTATAGGATGCCTAATACAGTAAATATTTCATATGTGTGTGTGTGTGTGTGTTTATATATATATATATATATATATATATATATATATATATATATATATATATATATATATATATATATATATATATATATATATATATATGTGTGTGTATATATATGTGTGTGTATATATATGTGTGTGTATATATATATGTGTGTGTATATATATATATATATATACATATATATATATATATATATATATATATATATATATATATACATATTGTATATATAT